TAAAGATTGTGATTGATTGCGTTAATTTTGTTTATATTTTATTAATATATAAGTAATATATAAGTAATATATAATAAGAAATAAAATAAATTTATATTACATAAAAGCTCGTTTAAGCTTATGAGCTTAAACGAAAACATTCTAGAGGCATGATCATTTCAATATTTAATATTTCTAAAAATCCAACAATCAAATCAAATGTGACTATTCTAGACATCGTTCTCATAGATAGATCTACTAGCATCATATATAGAACTAATGATTAAATTGATAATTCAAATGAAAAGTTGTTTGATAGAATATGGTTTATGGTTTGGTGTATAAGGTTTAGGGCGTAGGGTCTAGATTTTAAATTTTAATGTATGGGGTTTATGTTAAGCGTTTAATGTTTATGTGTTAAATGTTTATGCGCAGAAAATTAATGGAAATTCTATCTCGTGGAGATTGTGTCCGTTAGCAAGGGGACTAGAAAGCGGTTTAGGTCACTATACAACGATATTTCCCACACAAGACTCATGACCGACGTCGATCAACTGCATTGTAATCTTATGGCAGATGGAACTTACACGATGGAGTGCCTTAGAAACATGACTGACCACAATCCACTTCCATTGTCTTGTCCACTTGTTAGGTGGTGTAAAGAAGCTCCGATAAAAGTCATCTGCTTCATTTGGAGGGCAGCTCAAGGGCGTATCCCCTCAGCTATGTCACTTGCTGTCACAACTATCATTTTAAGGCTAGGAAATTCTGTCCATATGCAATTAACTCCTGATGTATCTTGTGACTCTAAGTTTGATGTTATACAAATTATACATTCACAAACGACAATTCAAGTCAAAAACTAACTCGTGAAAGCTCTAAACCTAATTCGATACGCTGCACTCACTCAACTTTGGGCTTGAAGCCCTAATTTCCCGGTTTAAACTCTTATTGGACCAGGATTCTCTTATTGGGCCTAATGGGCCAGTAGCCCTCAATTTGGTTCTCTTGGGCCAAGAATCCTCATTTGGGCCCTAGGTGGACCCACATTCATTAAGCAATAGTATTTTGGGCTATAAGACCTTTCATAGGCCTTATTGAGCCGGAAATCACTCATTATGTCTCTATGGGCCAAAAACCCACTTATTTAATCACATTGGGCCGAAAACCCATTTCATTTACTATTTTGGGCCGTAAGCCCCTAATGGGCTGAAAAGATTTCTTATTGGGCTTTATATGTTCGGTTGCTATTCAAATTTCAAGCCCAATATCTTTTTCTTTCTCCTTTCCCCTAATTTTCGGTTTTTGATAAAAAAAAACTTATCAAGGGCAAATGTACATGGGGGTGACACCTCATTGTTGTTTAGTGGTAATCCAAACAACTATCTCCCATATTTCTAAGTCCAAACCATCATATAATAACCATTTAACTCTCTCTCTCTTCTCTCTCCCTCTACTTACGGCCAAGAAGCATCACCACCACCCTCATTTTCTTCTTCACCCTTAAAGGAAAAACTCCCTCTTCTTTTCCCCTTCTAAAACCGTAGGTATGTGAGTTAGCTCAAGAAGGTCTTCAAGCTTGCAAACTTGGTAAGTTACTTCACATCCAAGATGTTTAACTTCATTTTTATGCTAAGATTTTCACTCATAAACACTCCATTTCGTGATTCAAGCTTCCTAAAGCTCCCTAAGTTCGAAAACTTTTCCTAAGAAGCATTCAA